AGGTCCTTGAGGACAACCAGGGGGGCATGGCGTTGGTGCAGAACCCTCTCAGCTCAGGTCGCACGAAACAAATGGACGTGCGGTTTCACTTCATCCGCGGATTGTTTAGGTCGGGGGAAATTTCGGTCAAGAGTGTCCCGACAACGGAGCAACACGCGGACCTCCTCACCAAGGCCCTTAGCAGGGCCAGTCTGCAGTATCACCGGCGCAAGCTGATGAATTTGCCGGAGTAGCTGTAGCAGTTTGTAGCACTTGGGAGAGGCCATGTTTTCCATGCGGGGAAAGGCGCATAACTGTTGCAGTCTGTGTACCAATGGCAGGAGTAGGGGGCGTTGGGAGACCATTGTCCGGGGGAACGTAGTTCCTCGCGTTCTTGTCTTCGCCTTGGCCTTTCTAATAAGTGCGGCCGTTGTGATCCGCTGTGATAGCGACGGTTTTTCTGTNTGGTAAGATAACCGTTTGATAGGGGGCACCGCGATGATTCACGGGTCCCCTCCTTGCTATGGGAGCCGCTCTTTGAGCACTCCCTGTTTCGTCCGTGTGAAGGACGGTCGTCGACCTCTCGTGAAATTAATACATCACCAAAACAGTCTCACCCGATAAATAAGTGGCGTAGGCCGCAAACAGGGAGTAAAAGTGATCTGGTGTGCGAGGCTTAGCACGGAGCCAAGCTTCCGGACGGTCCTACCTCTCCAAAGTCGTTATACAAAGACATAGTCGAGCTAGACTATCTATGCATTCGTCATCGACGACCTGTGCATCAACCCAGCATTCTGATTGGCACCGCTTATGCCCTTGGTGATCATCTGTAGCTACACCGTATACGTTAGAGCAGCAGCCCGTGGTCATCATGTCGCTCTGCTAAGATGACCTCGGTCCTTGGCTACTGCTGTGCACAGCCTTCACCGGTCGTTCTAGTCGGCTATATGTTGTTGTTGTTGTCTTCACATTAAAAACCATCCCGGTCTCTCTATCCAGTACCTCCTTCTGTCTCAATCTCTCCGTACTAATCCATCACTTGACTCGGCCAATTTCCGTGGTCACAGGCTAACGTACCTAGAAAAGGTATACCAAAATAAAATGGACCCCAAGGGTCAGCAGAGCGATAAAAT